GTGTATATATATATATACATCAATTGTGATAGTAGTCCCAGTAATGTAAATGTTGATTGTTCTAGGTACCAGTTTAATCCTACATACTTTCAGACATCTGTGGCTGTCCAGATTTTGCTAAAAGCTCTTACCAACCTGCCTCATACAGATTTTGTTCTGTGTAAATGTCTGATTGACTCTCTTCACGTATCCTTTATTGCATAATTTAATATAGTCAGCTATTGCGTGTCCAAAGTAGGATAATAGAAATCATCCTGTTATGACCATTTTATATTTGTTTTTTCTGCTTTTCTTTGAAAAATATGTAACTGTTTTTTTTTTTTTACTTTTTAAAAGCTTTGAGAGAAGAGCTTATCCTTGGAAAGTATTTGTGCCAAACTAATCTTTGAAAAAGTTTCAGAAGTTTTGTTTTAGCTTCTATTCAGAGCTGCAGTCCTACTTAAAAAGTGCCTGGGGAGTAAGTAATATTATAAATAAAGTTAAAGAAAAGAGTTTTATTCCCTCTGTATGACTGTGGAGGTTCGCACTCCCTCCCCACAAAAGGTTGCATCTTTTAGTTAAAAATGAGGTTAAAATATGTTTAGTTACTCTGATATCCAGTATTTCAATCTTGCTTTATCTTTTGAGATAATTACTGCTTTTCAGAGCTGCAAATGTCCAAGAAATGTTTGTTGAAAACAAAACATTTATTACTTCAACAAAGGTAATAATACCATTAAATATGTTAGTTAAAACTTCACGATGCTGCCACCAGAAGTAATGTTGACTACTAATGATATAAGTAGAGAAGAGAGTAAGAAAAAGAAATGGACATTTCCAAGCTCTGAAGAAGAAAATGAGGTAGCTGTGTTCCACCCAGAACTGTCTACAGCCCTGCATTTGCTTTTCAATACGTAATAGATACAATAAGATGTACCTTTATCTTGTGCGTGATACGATGCACATTCATGACAGTATTTTACCAATTTAAAGTTTTGATCAATAGTTGTTTGTGGAACAAGAAATAAAAGAAAAGGATCTTTTGTCTTGCCACTTTTTTTTATTTTCATGTTAATTTTTTAAACAAACATTTTATTTTTGTCTGTAAAATGTTAAGCTGAAGTGATGTATTTAAAATTTAAATTTCGGTCATATTTTTATGATTCTTCACACTTGACAATGTAAAAGGAATTGTCTGTACCAGCTACAACATTATATGTCACGTTACTTGACTCTCAAATAACTGGTTGAACTATATAGCATTTTACCTAAAATATGGGATGATCTCTGGTGTTGAGTGAAAGACCTTGTCAGCAGTTGTTTTCAACAGACGGTGTTTTTAAATTGCTGTTACACACTTTTATAGCTAGAACTTATTACTGAGTCATTCACTTGCAATGTGAAAGAAATTATTGGCAACTGTTTGTTTGTCATGCTTCTTTCTGTAAAAGGACCGTACTTCATCAGTTTTGACATCATATAACATTTTTTTATCTTGTTGCAGCTTTTTTATTGGATTGATTTTGTTTCTTTTGCACTCAATTTTTAAACAAAGAGTAAGATTAGTATTCTACAGTTTAGGTTTGTGTAATAAAATAAGTAACTTGGAAGGCTATAAAATAGCTTTTGTTTAACTAACTTCACTCTATAGCTCCATTCCAGTGATACTTAAGTATAAAACACCACATACAGCATTTAAATTTGTCTACAACTTGCATATTTTGAGTTTTATGCAAGTATAAAACATCAGAAAAAATAGTAGTTATTTAGGAATGAATGCAAAAAATGTGTATTTGTGTAAAGCTCTAGATATCAAGTTGATATTACATGGTTGAAATCTTACAATCATGCTGGAGATTTTTTTAATTTTGAAAAGTTGTGGTTTTGCATTACAATACGTTATGTGTAGTTATTCTCTAATCTTCATCATTAATTTCTCCATGACGACTGTCTCAGCTTGAGAAAATTCCCATTCAGCAGATAATGTTTCTTCATGATTTACTTGAGATGTGTCAGTTTAAGGAATTTTGGGTAAGTGTAAAAGAAATTGTAAAAATAATAGTATTTCAAAGCTTTAAATGATAATTTTGATTTTATCCAACAGAAATTTGTAAATTGCAATTTTAGTGGGAACTTACTGATCAAAAATTTAATTTCTTAAAGTTCGTTGCCATTGTGCTAATTGCCCACTGTTATTTCATGTTTTGGTGTTTTATAGTTTAAATCATGCAACTTGTTACTATAGGCTTCGATTGAAAGTCATCCTCTGTTAGATCTAATTACATTTTGTGTAAGTTTTTCTCTCTCTTTCTAAAGTGTAGCTTAAGTTGTATTATAATAGAACTTAGAGAAATTTATCTTTATTCTATAATTTTTTATTTTATTTTGTATTTAGTGGTAATAAATTACAACAGTTTCAACACAATTATCAACATATTGAGTTCTTAAGGATACTTTTCTATTTGTTCCATTTAGATACAGTTTTAGATTATTATAATTTACATCTACTAGTCTTTTTTGAAAGCTTTGTGTTTTGTGTAATTAATTATACCCCTACTTCATATAATATAAGTTTGAAATAAATCATGTTTCATAATGTTTGTGTGTGCTGAAAACAAATTATTGTTGGACAGAATTTATTATTGGGGGTGTAGGTATAAGCTTAGAGTATATCAGTAAAATACTGGTAATAAAAGTAACCTTGCATCATCAAAAATATATTCTTAAGTCCCATGTTTCAAATGCTAACATGGTTGTTGTTGTTTTTTACCATGTATGTTTTATGATTTTTTATTTGAAAAAGTGCTCTTTTGTTTAGAAGGAAATTACTAAAAATCCTGAAATTATCAGTGGAATCACTGGCTTTGAAGACTCTATCCGAAAATGTGAGTTACTTCATTCAGTTATACCTTTGTTTTGTAGGACTAAATTATATAAGAAAAGCAACTTACAATATGATGGGACAAATATTAAAGTGTACACTCATACACACAGTCTTCTTTGTATAACTTACATTGAAGCCAACATAAATGTAAATTATGCTTTCCAGGGTTTATGGAATAAGTCAAGTAAAGTATATTTTTATTCTTCTGCCTAATATTTACATGCAAGGTTTTGTTATCTTAACTATGGATGTTTCTTTCATTTTTGAAATAACTGAAAGTATTTTACAAGAAATATGTAATAACATCATTCAACTTTTTTTACCCATTTTTCTAACTTATTCTTGTGAGCTATGTTTTCAGTTGTTGTTTTTTTAATGTTTACTAGAAGGTGCATAATATTAGAATCTGTAAAAACTCATGAAAGTTAAGAATCAAGAAGTTTAGTGTAATGTAGAGAAATAGTTGTAAGATAAAAATATGAGTTCAGTACCAGTCAGTTAGTTCAGTGTTAGAAGAGTTATATAGTGTTAAAAGTGAGAGTTATCATGTCTGTTTGGCTATTCAGTTACTTGGTGAGCTAGTGTTGTTTATCAGTTGACTAGCGTGTAGTCTGTCAAAAATGACAGGGCAAGTACAAATACCCCCATGACATAGTATACCTTAACCTCACACTTTGTAGCTAACTGAAATAAATAAATTTTGCACAATCAAACTTGACCAACAAAGAGGCAGAAAAATGCAGTCGAGACATTCAAATACTGGTAAATTTCATTGTGAGCCAATCAAAATTAAGATCATTCATGAAATGTATTTGTGGCGTATTCATAGAATAATTATTTGTAAAAATCAGATTAATAACTTCTAATATATTGAAAAGCCAATGTGTTTTGGTAACACTACCTTCCAACAATGGCTTTTATGTCAGATCCTTTAGAAACAAAAGTATAACCTAATATTGTTGTTAATCTACGTACTAAAAGTATAAAATGAAATGTATAGGCAACAAAACTGGAAAAATATTTGTTGATATTATAACTTAGTCTCTGTTGATTTAAGGTTGGTGATATACCAGAAAATAGCTTAATTCAGAAACGATTTAAGTTTAAAATTGAATCAATATTTTTCTTTCATGATAAATTTTATACTCTTGGCTCTAGGCTAAGTGATCCCATGCTACATCTTTACTATATGCTTAATCATACCAACACTCACTACACTTATAAGTTTTCACTGTGGCACCACCTCTCACAGCCCCCTTGCACCCCTGTGAATAAAATCACAATAGACAGACACAATATCTGGGTATATGCATTTTGGCTTTTATGACTCCTCCTGGAAATCGAGCATGACATGATACACACTGACTTTTAAATAGGTTAGATTAACTTTCTAAGAGAAAATTTTAAAGTTAAGCCTACATTTAGTTTGTTCAAAAGTTTATTTATGAAATTAAGCCCATGAATGAATGTGGCTATAATGGATGTTACTGAAGAAATGAATTAACTTATCATTATGTGGACTGGACTTAACATTATTTTAACAAGTAATAAAAGAACCTGCTCAATGAAAGAACGTGTTACAACACTGTTTATGCACCTAAATGCTTGTGGGTTTAGAATTTGTTGGTTGTGAGGTCCCTAATAACTACTAATTTACAATTTATCCCTCTAATTACTATTTGTGTATCCTGTATAATTTTACATAGAAAATTAATTATGTAACACTTTTTTGTTAGTCTTTATTGTACCTCAGCATGAAGCAATATGTAAACTTCACTGGTAATAAACTGTATATTAAAATTCAATAATTTGAGAGTTAAAAACTTAAAATTATTGTTTTTTAAATGTTTTAATTATTTTTCAGTCATCTGTCATGTAGTAAACATAACATTTCAACGCATTGAGAAGACTGTTCTATCAGAACTGCTGGGTGGGCTGTCTGGTAAGTTTTTAGGCATAACCATATTTATTTCTGAAGAAAAAAAATATATTTTATCAGTCAGCACTTAAGTAGTACTCCAGCATTTGTTATGGTGAAATCATAACAATTATTTTCGTAAGACAATAGTATGAATCATATTGTATTTTTAAACACTGCATTTTGATTCATGCCTTTAAGGTTTCTCTGAGAAAAAGAGTTTATAATAGTATTTCAAGTACACTATGTCCACCATATCTGTTGCTGACAACATGCATCACCCAATATCTAAGGTTCGTCAGGTTGGCTGGGGTACAACAAACATGGTGGTTGGAATGCTATTCATAAGGTGATTATAAAAAAAAAAGTTTTGCATCATACATCACAAACATTATGGAGTAGGAAGATAGAATTGCACAAAGATGTTAAGAGTACCATGCTGGTGCAAATGCCACAGTTGTCACATGTTGCCATTTGGGGTGCCACTATGATCTGATGTCTAATCAATCACAGCAACCATTCAGTATGTGCTTATCCAACTTGCATTGCATCCATGTAACAACACACATTACAACAACAAAACACATCTCACCTGGTATGCTGGCTACTTACCAGATAATTGCATCATCGAGGTCTGGAATTGTGAGAGGCTTTCCACAGTACATGCATGAACTTAGATATCCCCACAGCCAGAAATATGCTGATGCTATGCCCGGTGAATGAGGCAAAGAAATTAACTTGAAATTATTCTGAAACATGTTTCATCTGTATATTCAATTTTAAGGAAGACAATGTTAAAATCATTACACGATAAATAGTTATTAAAATAGGGACTTGCTCTAAAAAAAGACTGTACATATATTTCAGTGTTCTATGAAGAAATAACCACATAATTTAGTGGAAATTACTACCAGCTGTTTGGTGAGAACAAATTGGAATTACAAGAGCTACGTTAATGACACTTGTTATAAATCTTCATCAGTTTAATAGCTTAAGTTTTACTTTTACAAACTATTTTCTTGCATTGAAAATGAATGAATTTTTCTTTGGTTGTTTTTTGTTTTTTTCAAGAAACAATTACTGAAGTTTCTGATGTTATTGAAGAAGTACAGGGCCAGGTGCAACTACACCTGTGTCACTGCTCTAAGATTGCAATGCATGCACGATTAATGTGTTGGGTTGCATCTGTTTCTTTCATTGCTCGAACATGATGCAGATTGTGAGGATAAAGTTGATCAAAGAGTCTCCAAGAACAATTGAAAGTGACAAGTCCAGACACCAGGTAACATAAAATGCACTGCTGCAATCATGTGGACTTGTGATTCCTCGTTCTGCTACAGAATGGCTAACCTCAGTGATAGTTTCAGTAGGTGTCTGTATGTGGCTTATCACAAATGCAATTTGACTCCTCAATTTTTTTATATGAACTTGAACAAGGCCCTCTGCAGATGTCATGCACTATATGGTATTCCCTGAGAGCTGCCTCAACATTACATTTCATTAGTTCACCTCAAGCACACTTGTCAGTCTCATGTTGGTTGACTGCAATTGACAGGCCCAATGGTACATTTATACCCATGGGAAGTATGCAAGAGAAACCACAATGGTGCCCCTAGTGGCAACACATGACAACTGTAGCATTTTCATTGGCATGATACCCTTAACATCCCTGTGCAATTTCACCTTTCTATGCCAGACTGTTAGTGAGATGTGATACTTTGAACTCCAAAACTTTCTTAATAATCACCCTGTATATAAGTTATTTGTTAGAATAACGTTTATGGTCTAAAAACCTATTGTTTGGGAAGAAAATAGTATTAGGCTTTATGTACTTTTAAACACCACATTCTTTGTTTGGTTTCTAGGGGTTTTTCAAGAAGAAAAATATATAATAGTATTTCAAGCACACTATGCTTGAAACACAATGGATGTTATCAGCAATGGGTATTGTAGATAGTGTGGTTGGAATACTATTATACACTCTTTGTCTATATGTGCCATATCCATTCCAATGATGCATTTTAGAAATATAATAAAAGTGTTTAAAGATATGATAAGAACGTTGTCTTATGACAAATACAATTGATTGTTCAAACATATTTGGGATTATAATGAAAATACACCAAAGATGTAATTCTGTTTGAAAAAAAAGCAAATATTTATGTTGTGGTGTATCTTATCATTAGTTATGTGATAAATAGATTACTAAATCATGATTACTTTTCAATTCTCTATATAATATAAAAGTTGCACTCTGCAATGTATAGTAAATATAGTTATTGTTTACTGTAATAATGCTATTCATTTGGTGTGCATATACAAAGTTTTATGCATTTTCATTAAATTGTGTTATTGACCATTTTATTTTATAGTAATGTAAGAACATAGAAAGTGGATTCTTGTCAACCGGATATTGTTTAGGAAAGATATAATTATGTGTATATATTTGTTTTAAAAATTAAAATTGTAATTTTCTTTCATTAGTGGTAGCTAATCATAAACGGACGTCAGAGAAACAGCTAGTAAAGCTGTTACTATTTGTTTGTTATTTTTATAGTAGGTTGTCTTACGTTTAGTTTACTACATAATATAAATCTGCCATGTAAAAAGATGTAGTTAGCTGGTTGAAAGCTTTACCCGTAGTGTGCAAACAGAAACTTTTTTTGGAACTTACGGATTCAGAATCATTATCATGAATGGAAGTTGAAGTTATATCTTGTGTTGTTAATTTTGTTTGAATTGAAATAGTTAAATAGTGTTCTGAAGTTTGTGTTTTTTAAAGAAAAATAGATGTACTTTATAGTTAACAGAATTGTGCTTACACAATGATTAAGTATGATTTCTTGTTGTTCTTTTATTCTCTTGTTAGAAAACCAGCTGAAACAGTGGATGAATAAGTATGGGTGGACTGATGTTGAAGATGGTCATGTATTTATAACAAACCAAGAAGAAAATATTAAAACCAAAAAGATAACAGAAAAAATTGATTTTGATAGTATGTTCAGACTATCTCATCTAGTTGCTAGTCAATTAAATTGGACAAACAAAGTGCATAATAACAAAACTATTATAAATAGTTGTAAGATAGTATTTCTCTTTTACCAGAAAGCACTTATGTGATATTACTATTTTCATTGTATCATTAGTGTGTAGTAATTTAGGAAGAAAAAGATAAATTAAAATTAGTTGTAAAGTGTGTGTAAATAATGGCAATGCTTATTGTTATAGAATAATATTGATATTTGTTTTGTTATCTTTTATACATTTTACAAACCACAAAAAGATATTCACTGATCTCACATTGAACTGAGAGAACTTTATAAAACTTGAATTTCTTTTCTGACAATTTTATGTTGATTTAGTGCTTTCTTGGTTTATTAATTATTTACAATAAGCTTTTCCTTTTTTTTTTCTAGGTGTTGCCATGATATTGGCTTCCAGCAGATAAAAGTTGTCACTTGTTTGAAATTTTCAAGCCTGCATATGTGAAATAAAAAATACTAACTCTACAGTGTTTTTTATGGCTCTTTTACTGAAGAAATTTTTATATAAAAGTAAAAATATTTTATACGCTAATGAAGTGATATTGGAGAGATACAAAGAAAAAATGGTTGAAAGTGTTATATAATGAAACTTCCCACATTGAACTTGTTAACCTTTACAATAATGTTTTTGTATTATCAGATTTTGCTATGTTACAACTGAATTTTTCTTCTTACTGTATTTTAATTTTTCACTGAAAAATGTAATCATTATTTTCTCATTGAAGCAGAGAGGTTTTCCCACGGGCTAAACTGGCTCCTTTTATTCCTGTAGTTGAGATTAGCTAAGGTCACTGATACGTGTAGCTTGGAACTTGATTCCTGGTTAGTAATTTTTGTCTCATTTTAGAACTGGTAAAAAGATTGGCAGTATTATAGTCGTAAATTTCGTTCCTTTCAAGTCACTGGAGATCCTTTTTGGCTTATCGTAAATAACATAATTGATTTTGGGACACATATACCTTTGAGTAATATATGTAAATTGGTATTAACCTAATGTTGGAATCTGTATAGAAAAGCATGTCTTATTTTCATATGCTGTATTTAATTATCTTGGAAGATAATGTTTTGGGTAAATAAGGCATAAAACTAGTCATCAAAGCATTAATAGTATCATAATTCACTCTTTTACTGCTCAAGTGGGGTGGAAAAAAGACCCCACCATTTGCATGCAAAAGTAAAGAATAAATACCAAAACGTCATATAATAAACGCTGTGTTGACCTGGTGATGTGCCGAGTGAGCAGGGAAAAGGTTCGACCCTCATTGACTGGGAGATAAGACGGGAGGTCGAGCAGGACTTGTCTGTTTGTTTCTTCCATGTATGGAATCACAGTCCTCTTGTCTTGTGCACTGGCACAGCATTGATTGTGAATAGCATGACTATATTGTGCAGATATTACACTTAGCACACTAATATAAATTACTGAAACTACTGTATAAATAACTGATGTTTACCACCTAATACATTCTTTTCTGCTATGTATAGACATTGGGAGTGACATCTATGGATCACTGGTATGACCAAATATCAAACGGTTGTGGGAAAACTTATGACATCATATGATGTGCAGAGCAGTGATAGAAATTAATGATTAACAAAGTATGTTAATTTTTCAATAAGACCTACCTTGGTATTATAATTAGGAAAGAGTAGTTTTATACATACTAATTTTTTTTTTTATGAAGCTTCAATATCTTGGCAGTCTGTGTAGCTGTGATGATAGGGATTGTACTGAGTAGAAAGTGCACATTTCCAATGAAAGAGTCTTGTCTATAATAACATTGAATTTTCTTCCTGTGGTATTTAAAATGAAGATTTAGATATACTTTAATGAGGAAAAATTTAACATGAAAACCAAAAGGCTCACTTCAGCCAGTTAACCCAGGGTCAGATTTTAACTCGTATGCTAATTTTGTTAATTAGCTTTGTTTGAATGTGTTGGTCTAATATTTGAACAAAAAGCTTGTATGTGTGTTTGAGGTTATGGATGAGATTGTTATAGCCCAATTTTTATTTGAATAATCAGTAATGAATTCAAATTCGATGACGAGGAACCCACTTTGAAACTAATAATGCTTGGAGACAGCTTGAATAGGTAATGAAGAAAACTTTAATATAAGTTTAACATAACAGCAAATTTACAATGTTTAGACAAGGTTCTGTACCTGATGATGACAAAACCTTGTCGAAACATTGTACATTTGCTGTTATGTTAAACTTA